GGCAACCGAAGGGGGGGGGTCTCTTGCAAACTCAAAAAGAAATGATTGCAACCTTTAAGTTTTGCAACCAGAGCCACTGCCCTTGCAAAACATTTCTTGCAACTTTGCAAGGCTGGCAAGGCAAGGAAAGACCCTCATGGGCATGGCAAGCCAAAGGGCAACCTCCCCTCCAGGCAGAGTCCTTTGCAAAAGAAAACTAGACTCTCCAAAAGTATGCTGGGACTTGGCTGCGCTTGCAAACAGCCAGGGTTTAATTGCAAAGGATGAGGATGAGGATGATTTTGCAACCTTGCTTGGCAAGGCGAGGGAGGACCAGTTTACAAAGGATTGTTGCTTGCCCATAGGGAAATATAGTGGGAATTACTTGCCCATATTGGAGAATACTTGCCCATAGGGAAATAATGGGAATTCCTTGCTCATAGCCCTCCGAATTTGCAAAACTGGTCGGAGTTTTTTTTTGCAAATGCCTGAGCGCAACAACCTTCCAGAGATACGAGTCCAAATTTTTATTTTATTTTTTGGAGAGTCTAGTTTTCTTTGGCATAGGACTGGGGGTGGTGGTGGAGAGGGGATTGCCCACCAGAGACCACCCTTGCCATGCCAGCATAATATTTGCAAACCAAATCCTTTGCAAACCGGCTGGGGATCTTGCAAATGCCTGAACGCAGCAACCTTCCAGAGAATGAGTCCGGAGGTTTATTTATTTTTTGGAGAGTCTAGTTTTCTTTTGCATAGGACTCTGGAGGGGGAGGGATGACCTTCTGGGTCTTGTGCCCACCAGAGCCCGCCTTTGCAAATAATCCAGGTTGCAAATAATCCTTTGCAAGCCCCTGGGCTGTTTGCAAGCGCCTCCCAGCAAAAGTCTCCAGCATTATTTCTGGAGAGTCTAGTTTTCTTTTGCCTTGGCATGCAATGTTGCAAAAACCTTTTGCAAGCCCCTGCCTTTTTTTGCAAATGCCTGAGTGCACCAAGCGCCCAGAGCATTTTATAGCTAGCCTTTTATTGATGGATGGATGGAGGAAAGCCTAGTTTTCCAGTTTACTTCCCACTGGAGCCTGCTTTTTTGCTTGCCTTGCAAGGTTGCAAGAAATCCAAGGGTTCTTTGCAAGGCTCTGAGCACAGCAAGCTCCCAGGGAAAGTGTCCAGCATTTTTCTTTGGCATATAGTTTTCTTTTGCAAAGGATTCTGGGGGGTTGCCATTTGCTAAATAATAATAATAATAATAATAATAATAATAATAATAATA